TGTTTATGGATCACATCAAGCAGTGATGATACCAGGTGTTCGCGACAAAGTGAGTGTATCCTGCCCCACCGGTGGAATCTGTCACAAACACATGCAAAGGCAAGTAAATTGTTCACCCGAAAAAAAACACGGGGACATATGGCACAAGTCAAAATAAGGAATTGCATCGGACACCCTTTTTGTCACTGATGCGTCAAATTTGGAATTATCCTCCACAAGATAACCGTAAGCTTCACCGAGGCCTTGGCTATTTTAACCTTGATCTAACATCTCCTGGGTCCACTTGTACAAAGCGACCGTAGCGCTACGACGATCGTAACTCTTATACTTTAACATAGACTTACGATCGTCAAAACGCTAAGGGGGCGTTGGGGTTGCCTAGTGGTTTAAGCTCTCGCTCGTCACGCCGGAGACCGGGTTCGATTCCACACATAGGTACAATGTGGGAAGACCATTTTCTGGTGTCCCCCGCCATGACATTCCTGAATATTGCTAATAGCGGCGTTAAACCATACTCACTCACTCACTCACTCAAAGCGCTTTGTACAAGTGGCCCCTGAGAATAGGGTTGCGACCGGGTACGAAAACTGAACTCGAGTACCCGGCAGACAATACCCGAACCGGACTCGAGTACCCGTAGTTCAATGTTGTCCCAATTGTTTGTAATGCTTTTGCGAATAAAAGGTCATCAAACATCTATTGATCTATTCTAAGGTATTATGTTTTTTATTAAATGCCTGCATGGCTTACCTAAAACCACAAGTGACGCGGAATATCAAAGTAAACTTGCGCCAGTCATTGAGCACTGGAAACGGCAAGATCACATGACTGCCTGACACGTGAGTCGTGACATGGGTAATAAATGTGTCTGAGTGATCTAGGCTTGTATTGTAATTTGTAACATTGCACTATTTCAGTATTTCGTTACGGGTACTCGAGTCCTGAAAATTGGACTCGAGTCCTAAGCTACCCGACCCGTTATCGGGTACTCGAGTACCCGTCGCAACCCTACCTGAGAATGAGTAGTGTGACGCTCTTTGAAATATTGTTAGAAAGAGCCTGCTCGCAGAAAACGGTGCAGAAGTGAGTGAAGCATTCATAAAATATAGATCGAACTTAGCTCTGTGCATGTGTCACACATGTTAAAAGTAACTATAATTTGGGTGTGTCATATACTGCGATAGTTAGTTTAGTATTGTTGGAAGCTTACACTTGTTAGATTCTCATGCGAGATACCCGTATCCCCACAACAATACAATAATAGTGTAGCGCTTGGTGAATGGAATCTGGCGCAGTATAAATGCACTTACTATTATTAACACCACCAAACGGCTGTTATAACTAAGCCGGGAGAGTTTAAACATTGTTCAGCTCCCCATCTCCTACCCAGTAAAATGTTTTCAAGCAGCAGGTGACGCCAGATATAACGTGGTTGTGACTGATTGAGTGAGTGAGTTGGGTTTCACGCCGATTCCAACACTGCTTTTAACAGTATTCCAGTTATATCACGGGTGTCAGTTTAATGTGGGAAGAAAGCCCGAAATGATGCAGGTCTCGGATGTTTACAACTTCGGTGAAACCCAGAGCACGGGTATGGTGCTCACAAATCTAGAAACATAATCGAGGCGAACCGGGATTCGAACCCACAATCATAAGTTTCTGGCGTTCCCAAGGGTCGCAACTCTGCACAGCGACACACACACACACACACACACACACACGGTGACTTGGTTGAACACGTCATCACACTGATGGCGTGGATCGTTGCTCAAAACATTCAATCACTGGATTGGCTGGTCCAGACAAGATTACTACCGTCCATATACACAAATTCGACAGTGATCTTATTTTGAGCTTGCATATTCTCCCTGTGCTCATTCACGACCATAAAATCAGAAAGACAAGGTCATATGGTGAATCCTGTTTTATTACAAAATATCTAAGTACATCACAACATTCGCAGTGAGATCTCTACTTGAGATAGTCGGGGGTGCAGAAGCATAACATGTGTGTAACAGTGAGAGATATAGGTTAACTGGGTTATACTTCACTCGCTTGGTAGTCAAAGTCTAATATGTCTCTGTTGAACCTTACTGACTGGTAGGACACTGGGTACAGGAAGTTTAGCAATTAGGTATTTAACAGCAAGTAATTGTAATACATATAGAAATATGGACCAAGCTCCATACAGTGAATGTCATGCTTCAGAGCTCTTTCAGTGTAATTAACCAATCACTGGATGAGTTCAAGGTTATGTTTCTTCCATATAAGGTATTTTCACATGGGACATTCCACAATCAATCTGAGATACACTCATCAGAAGCATATCAACATTCACTGATTCACCCGTGATAATTGTAAGGTGGGGTTGTGGTGCGGTTGAGTGGGGTGGGGTTTGGGTTATTTTGAGAGGGCGCAAGGTAGTGTCTGTTTGAGTTGCATTGAGATGGGGTCAGGGTAGAGTTGAGACAGGGTGGGGGTGAGACAGGGTGGGAGTGAGATGGGGTGGGGGTGAGATGGGTGGGGTGAGACGGGGTGGGGGTGAGATGGGTCGGGGATGAGGTGGGGGTGGGGGTGAGATGGGGGGTGAGATGGGGGTGGGGTGGGGGTGTGACGGGTGGGGGATGAGACGGGGTGGGGGTGAGATGGGGTTGTGGTAGGGTTCAGATGGGTTAGGTAGGGTGGGGTTGAGATGGGTCGGGGTGGGGTTGAGATTGGGTTGTGATGGGGCAAGGTAGGGTGGGGTGGGGTTGAGATAGGCTGGGGTGGGGTTGAGATGGGGTAGGGTTGGATTGAGATGGGGTAAGGTAGGATGGGGTTAAGATGGGGTCGGGTGGGGTTGAGATGGGGCAAGGTAGGGTGGGGTTGAGGCGGGGGTGAGATGGGGGAGGGTGGGGTTGGGATGGGGTAAGGCAGGTTTGGTTTGAGATGGGGTAAGGTGTAGGTGGGGGTGAGATGGGGGAGGGTGGGTTTGAGATGAGGTAGGGTGGGGTTGGGATGGGGTAAGGTAGGGTGGGGTTGAGCTTGTATGTTTTTTAAAAATATTTATTTGCTACTAAATAAAATCCACAAAAGACCCCACTCGAAGTGCCTTTTATCATATGTGGCAAGATAACATGCACAAGGCAATGATGTGTCTGAAGTAATCATTTAAACAATGAAAGATTAACACTTTGTACAACAGGGGAAATGTCGCCCCCCCCTACACACATCCACACACCCTGGTACTTTGCTGAAGGAATAAAAAATAATAAATAAAATAAATGACATTACTTACAATGAAGAATTTGTTTCTTCTTGGAATTATATTTTTCAGAATAAATTCAATTTCGGAAAGGTTCTTTCTTGACTATTTTAAAAGTATCTATTTAAAATCAAAACAAAAGAACAGAAAGACCACTTCAACATTTATTTACACATTACACAAACAGATTATTGCTTTCTTCTCATTAAGATGACAAACTTGATAAATGAAAATTATGAAAGAAAAAAATAAGTAAAGAATTATTTATACTGAAATATGAATTAAATTTTCAGTGAAGATCTTGTGTGAAAGTTCAGTTAATGTAAAAAAGCTGATCTACTTTATAAGTAAACACTGTTTAGTAGTCCAGAAACCAACATACACAAAGACATTATGTATATAATACAATATATATAACATGATAACTTTCAACAATATAAAACATCCAAACACAACTTGTTCATGTAGCTCTACATCATACAACTGCAATGATGACAACAACGCCCCACATGTATGTACACTTCTGTGTTTAGTTGTCAGGACAACTGTATGTCACATGCTGCTGTTGACAAGCTCCTTCCCAGCGCGTGACACCTTCGTTACACTCTCGGTAACATCGCTGCCACCAGTGTGGGCGCAGCCATTACAAGAATCTTGAAATTTGCCCTCTAACCCCAAATGTAGTAACGTTTATACTTTTGTTTATGTCTTTGGGAATGCCATCATATTTCAATTTGAAAAGGTTTGCGACTGACCATGTTTTCCAGATGAATTTACTTTGTTGTTTTGATAATCAGATTGGTTCGAGATTGCAGACTAACGGAAAATCAACCAACTTCTCCCTTACATTCTTACTATATCAATAACACGAAAGTTGTAATGAAACAGAAATTCAAATTGACAAACGAAGAAAGTAATTTAGCAGCTATAAGTGTATTCGGCGTCACGACAGTCGTCACTTGTTTGTAAACAAAACGGTCATTCGGTTGCGAGTTCAACTCCAAGCATGGTTGTGGCCACCTATTCACAGTGGGGAGTTTTGACTGGTGGCAGCGATAGTATAGAGAGCTCCGGGAACGTACTATCGCTGTGAGGAGCTTGCTGCTGTTGAAAGAGAAGGGAGATAATTCCGGCAACAGGAAACAGAATGTCATGGGTGACTTCCCTTTAAATGTCATGGGTGACCTCCCTTTGTAAACAGACCAGTATGATAAGGTATGACCTCATATTCTTAAACATTTAATCATTTAGAGTCCAATGTTTTCTTAGCAAGGCTATCAAGCAAATATAAAAACGTAAAATAGCAAGTTGTTTATTTGCTATTTTTTAAGCCATGCACAAAGTTTGTGGATAAAATCTTAAAAATTCTCATCTGAGTAATTTTGTTCAATATATTAAGTTATTTCAAATTGACATCAGATTAAACATGATATAGAATATAAAGCCAAACTATTATTTGTTCAGTTTACATAATTGTTGTCACAACATACTAGTTTCCTTGCCACTGGAGACGATCAATATGATGATAAGTGTCATGGCAGATCACCTCTAGTATGAGGTAGCCATTGAGAATATTATGCTAGTAATTCATATACATACACTTCCTGATTTCATTTCCATATATGCTACTCAAAACAAGTTAAGAAACACCTGATCCTTTCATGTAATATTACTATAGCTAATCTGTCATGCATGGCAGATTAACTATAGTACTATGAAAAAATCAGGTGTTCCTTTACTTCTTTTGAGTAGAATATTTCAAATACATTTGTTAAATTGATAGAAAATGAAGGTTACATAAAACTTATTTTATTAATAAAAGCATTATTTTCAGAGATGCAATATTTAACAGATAAAAACACAAGCATACATAATAATACCTTTCTTATTATAGAATGAAATATTTCTACAATGACACATACCCGATATATACAAAAACACCATCTGACAACTATAGACATTCAAATAAATAAAATAAAATATCTTAATACAAAACACATCAACTATACCAAGCTGTCAATGGAAGCCAGGCAGTTGATATAGGATCTTTCGCAAAGCCAAAACATACTTCTTAGCATGGCTGCGGTTCCATTCAAAAGTATTTTCAAAGACTACTGTGCCCATATTCATGTGTTCATAAAAATCAAATTAATTCTGTCAAGAAATGTTTAATTTAAGACAAAATACAACATACTTTAAAGGATTTAAATTTGCCAAAAAAATCAACAAAAGTATCAATAATTCCATTTAATATCAATCTAAGTGAAATCTGAGACTGATGCCATTACCCATTAACATATATTCTCATTGTGTCAAACAGGGCTAAAACAAACTAAACAATAAACTAAGCAGTCTAGTTTGTTTCCCTACACATGATACAGGCACAAGAAGACAAAATGTCCTTACCCCTTAATTTCAATTTCAACTTATATCCCCAAACTACGACAGGAAGTGTTTCCATAATGATGGAATGTCGATTACCCAACAGGGGAGACTACTCTGCTAATAAGGGGAGACAATTATACTCAGTAGGCACGAATGGACGGCATGAACAGTAGGCCACTCTTGGCCTCAGAACATTTTCTAAGACAACCAAAGTGATAGGAACCAGTGTAAAGAATGATCAGTTGGCTTCATTTTGAAATATATTTATATGTATATTTAACAGTAAGGGGGAGACAATCAGCAACTTATAGATGTTTAAGCTTCATGTCGTCAAACTGATAATGTATTTTATTTGGCCTAACTTTAGGCTCTGTTTTGGAGAAAACAGATATTGTGTAGGTACTGGTATCATGGATGCTGAAAAACATACATTTACTTGTAAAAAAAACCAAATGCACATATTAATCATAAAAAAAACAATTATACCGGTAGGCTAATTTACATGGCCCTCAATCACTGTGGAGTATGCTCAGAGTGCATTGAGTGGGTGAGAAATGTTCTTCCCATTTATAAAGAGACAACAATGGCCTCGTATATATGTGGAATTAAACTATCAATTCCTGATAAACAGTGTCTGTTATTTATCCGAATGTTCAGAGGTTTATTCATTAACTTAAATTAACATATTTCAAAATGGCAGCCTAACGGACGACTCTTCACCCAAGTCAACACACACTATCTATGGTATGGTTGTCTGCAGTTCACTAGCGTTTCTGTATGAACAACACACGTACACATGGTTCATGATGAACATTTCAAAGTAAGGCATAACAGCAACCAATGAAATAAGAAACGTAATTCCATTGTCATGGATAACATTCATCAAGACTCACTATTCTTGAACGTGATTTAAAAAATCCATCTCCACACCAGGATAAAACAGTGCTGCTTATTTAAAACAGATATAATACATTTCCAATTACAAACATACATGAGTGCCTCCTCCGACCAAGCATGCAGATATAAATTAAGATTCAAACACTCTCTAAGTTCTATATCTAACGAAATGAAGCCTAACTCTTTATACAGAAAACAAAATATTTATAAGATTCTTCTTTAAAACCTAACACGACGATTGTGTAAAACACACCAATCACAGGCTCACCTGAAGGTCAGTGGGAAGGGAGATAACTTTTGTAACTTTTTACCAAAATCTATCATAATACTTATATCTTATTCTTATTTCATCAGCTCCATACTACAAGAGTGCTATAGCTTTTTAAAATTTATAAACACACATTGAAAAAATTGTTTTTTTCAAAATCAACACTTCTTTCTGAACCATGTTTAACTGGAACTCCCTTTACATATAATTGTCAAAATAATCCACACTTTCATGTAACCAATGGCTACTATACTCGTATCTGGTTTCTGATGGTACTACACATATACAATGAATCAGACATTCTTGTATAATTCACACAGATGTAGTCTCAAATACCATGTGCAGTTCTAGATAAGAAATATCTAATTCTGTCCAATTTATGTTTATTATGTAGCAAAACAAATAATATTATAGTTCTTATTAATTTTTTTTTTATTTCAAAACATATTTCATAATATTTATTTTGTTCAAATTATTAATTTCAAGTGTTGATATAAAACTAACCTCAAATAAACACTAACATCATTGTCTTTCATTTTTTCCGATTTCTCATCTTGAACAAGAGACTATGGCGTTCAAACTGTTTTATACTTTTGATTACAACAGAAGATACACAAGTTATTCCCCCTTTCCTCTGACCTGCAGCACATACTACAATTCTCTCACTCAAGTCTTTGGCGCCACTCATAAGAAGATAATAACTAGTTGTCCTACCATTAGAATACACACCGCTCAATGGTCATTTAATTAGTTGTACTGAAAGCAGTATATGTTGATAGCACCATGGGTACACTACCACCCAGAGGAGTATTGTTGACTATAATGGCACACTGAATATATCTTTATAACACATGGAAATATGTGAATGATTGCATATATGGTAATTATGGCTCTATATTTCTCTGTAGTTCAACCACCTGCCCTTGCATGGCCGTGGTAGTGGATTTGTAATATTCAACACCTAGAATTTGACCCTATTGCACTATTATTTCAAAGTATGTATAATAAGGTATGAATCATTATGTCATGGAATCACTGGAAGATTTCTGATACTTGACCAGACAGCTCCAAGTGAGAGCATTATTGAGTGCTATGAAAGGCTTTCATTGAGGTACGATAAAGGTTTTTACATACTCACACTGGCCATGACTTTGGGTAATATATGAATTCCACCTCCACAGAACCTCATTACCAACCTTATGCTATTGTTTGTTACTTGTAGACTAAATTAATATTCTGTTGCTTTTTCGTCTATTGTTTGTTACTTGTAGACTAAATTAATATTCTGTTGCTTTTTCGTCTCTAAGTTTGGGCTGGGACGGGTTACTTGGGTACTCGGTCAGGTGGGAATTGAGTAGGACCCAAGTATCCACAGGACTACCTGGAACCGTGGTTAGTCACGTGATAAATTATCTAGAACTCCATGGTTACACTACAAGTCACTAATGTTTGCATTTCTTTCTGACTATGCACCCATTCCTTCTGACTTGTATTTGTGTGAATAAAGATGACTTTCAGTCAACTTCAGTGTATGCATGACTGGATCCTTTTATACGTGTATCTAAATACTTTTTGCCAGGGCTCCGGTCAAACAATCCCCAATCGGACATTTTGTACCCAACTCTTAAGACCTACAACGGGTACCCGGGTAGGGTCAGGTAATAGGGTGTCGGGTACCCGAGTAATAGATTTGGACTTGTCCCAGCCCTACTCCAAATGACCATATAAGGCAGTGAATTCGTGGACAATGGAAGCCTGGATGTGAACCGATCATGTGATCAGGCAGTGTGATGGAATGACTCTAATGCAGAAGTCATACTGTCTCCATGGTAACTAGTCACATGATTGTTCCTCTTCTGTTGGAAACATTGTTTCAGAATCACAATGTCTGGTGTGTTACGATCGCTTATTCCCTGAAATAAGGCACAGATGGCGGCATACTGTGAAATAGGCATCAAGATTGTTATCAACCATATGTTGATATCATGGATATCACATAGGGAGTTGATATCGTGGATATCACATGGAGAGTTTTGTGATTTCACATTTTATCACACTGCAGCTTGGACTTTTGAATTTACACTGGAATCACAACATGTGCCTCTTTCAGGGGTCGTGGGAATCAGCCTTGATGCCACATAGATTTTACAACTTTTTCCCAAACTTGTTCGAAGGTGAATTTTTGCTCATTCAAATGTTTTGTCCTCAATGTTCCGTGGGCTGCCGTTGGCAACCAAGTAGCCGTCATCCTCTGGCTTCCTCCTCTTGAAGAAGCCACACTGGAACACAGAGAGAGACACTCAAGATAACAACGACAGGATCTGTTAACTTGGGTCCAACAAGGACAGTACATGTAATTCAGTATCTAGCAAAATACTACCACAACTAAAATGAGGTGAGGTGAAATTGGTTTAACATCGTGTTCAAGATTATTGCACTCATATATTTCATGCATGTGTGTGTGTGTGGCTGCTTGTACTAGTCCGGACTGATTTATAGTGCTAGCCCACTGAGATGCCATGCTGCAGTTTTACCTGAATACCCGACTCAGACACTGTATACTGACCCTGAGCCAACCAGTCCCATCTTCTTGAGGCAAGGGAGTTAACTGACTGTAAAAGTCAAGTTTCCACCCTTGCCGAACTAGGCTGGTATTATGGAGTTACATTTTGGCAGGACTAACAAGTCTATGCATGGTCTAATCAAAATCGTGCAACGAAATCAAAATCCGGGTCGTAAACTGTCATGAAGATTTCGGTCAATTGGAGGATTTGCAAAGCATGTGCACAGCTAACTCGTTGTCAACAGATATTTTCTATATCTCTTCATGTTTTTAATGAAGGTGCTCACGTGATTTGATGCACTTCGCGATGTAAGACTCGTTTTGTCACAATATAGATCTTGATTATCGATCAGATCGTCTTGAATGGGCGCCGCCATTTTGTTTGAAGCAAATACAAGTGATACGAGGGGTGGAATCTGATCCATAGGATAGGCATGGAAGGGACATAATTCGTAATAGCCACCAGTGGCGCTACGATCGAACCCAGGAATTCCAGCCTAGTTCGACAAGGGTGGAAACTGGACTTTTAAAGTCAGTTAACTCCCTTGCCTCGGGAAGATGACCAGTCCTGGCTTCATTCCCTGTTGCTGAGCATCAGGAAGAGAAACAACAAGTACCATCTTTCAACATCTTTTGGTATGGCACGGCCTGGAATCGACCAAAGATACTCACCCACCACAGCAGGATAATGATCAAGAGAAGAACTAGCAGTCCTGCAGACACTGCCACAGCTATGATCCAGATCTCGATGGGCCGGCCACCAATGTCTGGCTTGTCAATGTTCACATCCGTCACAATCTGGGGCAAGAGAAAACAGTTTATGGGTCATATTACCCCCATACATAGCACATTTATGTTACATATTACTATTACATCAATCAATCAATTACAAACTAGTCAGTCAATCAATCAATTACAAACTAGTCAGTCAATCAAAAAATCAATTACAAACTAGTCAGTCAATCAATCAATTACAATCTAGTAAGTCAATCAATCAATTACAAACTAGTTAGTCAATCAATCAATTACAAACTAGTCAGTCAATCAATCAATTAAAACATAGTCAGTCAATCAATCAATTACAAACTAGTCAGTCAATCAATCAATTACAAAGTAGTCAATCAGTCAACTACAAACTAGTCAATCAGTCAATTACAAACTAGTCAATCAGTCAATTACAAACTAGTCAATCAGTCAATTACAAACTAGTAATCTGACAAAAGACCAAAGCATGAAAGATACAATGCATTATCACATTGAAATCAGAGGGTATAAAACTCATTATCATCCAAAACTGGCTCCCACAGGAGATGTGGCTTGGGTGAGATCAAGCGATATCTACATTGTAGATAAATAAAATTGCATCACAATGCTTTGAAGACCATTGTAACGTCATTGGTTACCATGATGTCACAATCAAATGACATCACCAATGGCTCTGCTACTGAAGCTGTTAGCAGCACTTTTTACACTTAAGACACTGCTACAAACTGAAAAAGTTGCAAGAATGGTGTTGGATGATAAATGAAATCTCTCTATTTATCACCCCCAAACATATAATGGCCCTGTGGAAGTAAATGTCGTTGTTCCTTTTCTGCCATATTTTCTTTATCAAGTTTCGTAAGATACAAATTTATATTCTATTCAAAATTGTAAAATAGTTCAATACTTGTCATCCACAATTTGTTTTTTCTCAATGTTTTTAATGATTACAAATATGTGTTCAAACATTGATGCACGTGTTAAAACAGAGTACTCACAGACTGTTTGGCTGTAGCAAATAACGTCGGGTCCACAGACTTCAGTTTGTACGGCATGGAGACGACACGGGCGAAGGCTGTCGACGTCAGGAGTGCATGTGGCATCTGGTTCTGGAGGAGTAGCAAACGTAAGATCATGGAGAGTGAGTATCAAATGTCATTTACTGCATAGTTCAAGTATCATGGAGAGTGAGTATCAAATGTCATTTACTGCATAGTTCAAGTATCATGGAGATTGAGTATCAAATGTCATTTACTGCATAGTTCAAGTATCGTGGAGAGTGAGTATCAAATGTTATTTACTGCAAAGTTCAAGTATCGTGGAGAGTCAGTATCAAATGTTATTTACTGCATAGTTTAAGTATCATGGAGAGTGAGTATCAAATGTCATTTACTGCATAGTTGAAGTATCGTGGAGAGTGAGTAGCAAACGTCATTTACTGCATAGTTCAAGTATCGTGGAGAGTGAGTATCAAATGTCATTTTCGCAGTAACAGTTTTATTGTAACATGGTTGTCAAATCAGCCATTTCAATCAGAGGTTGTTATTCTGATTTGAAACTTCTGATTGTGTGTGTGCATATGCTTTTGTGTGGTGTGTGTATGTATGTCTATGTGTGTGCTTGTACTAATCCAGACTTTATAGTGCTTGGTCACTGAGATACCATGCTGCAGTTGAACATGGCTATGATGTGACCGGAGCGAGTGAGTGAGTTGGGTTTAACGCCACTTTTAACAGTATTCCAGTCATATCATGGCGTGTCAGCTTAAAGTGGGAGGAAAGCCCGAAGTGACAGGTCTCAGACGTTTACCACTTCGGTGAAACCCACGAGCACGGGTATGGTGCTGACAAACCTAGAAACATAATCGGGGCAAACTGGGATTCAAACCCACAATCATAGGTTTCTGGCGTGCCCAAGGGATGCAACTCTGCACAGCAAATCGCGGCGCCTTAGACGACTTGGCCACCCGTGCCCCCTGGCCGGAGCGAAGGCCCGAGTAATGCAGGTCATCGACCCGTAGACCCACCATGATCTGGGTCAGAATTGATCTTCAGCAACCCATGCTTGTCGTTAGAGGTGACTAATGGGATAGGGTGGTCAGACTTGCTGCCTTGGTTGATGCATGTCATCGTATCCCAATTGTGTAGATCGATGCACATGATATCAACCACTGGATTGTCTGGTCCAGACTCGATTATTTACAGACTGCTGTCATATAGCTGGAATATTGCTGAGTGTGGCGTTAACCAACAAACAAACAAGCAAACAAACAAACATTGACCCATACGTGTTCCGGGCCTATCGAGCAAAACTGTTTACACATAACATCTAACTGGGGCAATAACTGCTCTAACCACTGTACAGACAGTCATCTGTTGTAACATCCGCAGACACAGACATCATGTACAGACACTTCTCCAGATACAATACTAAATGACACAAAAGCCACTGTTGAAATTGTCTTCTTACCCTTATAAATTCATCCACCATCAGGTTGGCTCTTATCTTGATCAGGAAGTTGTCATCTGGATTTAGGTATCCCACAGTGCACTTGATGACTGTGCACCAATCAGTGCAGGCCTGAAACAGGAAGTGGTATCATGTACATTCACATGTAGAATAGTTAGTTGGCATGTCGTGTTTCACTTCACTGCCTCATCGCCACACACAAACATGTTGTGAGGAAATGTATTCTAGCCTGGAAAGAAGTATACTGTGGAATTTCTGGAATTGGTTGTGATTTAATCATAGATCATGTGCATATTCATAATGCGCCAAATTCTCATCCTAAAGCATGCTCAAAGCGCTACATTATCGCCCGGTCAGTGTATCAGTGTAGCCTCAATCTTAATTCTCTGTTCCTGTGAGACTAAAAAGTAACAGTCACATGGCCATCTCATCCTACCAGGTACCCATTCACTGCTGGGTGAACAGAGGCACATGTCGAACAAAGTCACATGCTACGAATGAGGTGAGGTGAAATTGGGTTTAACTTCGCGTCCAAGATTATTGCACTTATATAGCGACGTATGTGTGGCTGATTGTACTAGTCCGGACTGATGCCGATTTATAGTGCTAGCCCACTGAGATACCATGCCGCAGTTTAACATGAATACCCACTCAGACACAGTATACTGACTCAGAGGCAACCAGTCCTTGTTTTAGCCCCTTAATGCCGAGCGCCAGACAGGGTAACAACAAGTACCACCTTTTAATGTCTTTTGGTATGACGCGGCCGGGGATCGAACCCCAGACCTTCCGCTCTCCGGGCGGACGCTCTACCACTAGACCACGGAGGCGGTCACATGCTATGGAGACACATGTGCTACATGCGCTTCAGGATCAAAGCCCTAGAAACTCTCAGGAGTCAAGCTGCCTAACATGGTTACCCATCAAACTGCTTGACTTCACCTGATATGTGACCTGTTAGTTGTACACATGACCAAGCGTTCGCTCGTCACGCCGAAGACCAGGGTTCGATTTCCGACATGGGTACAATGTGTGAAGCCCATTTATGGTGTCCTCCGCAGTGATATTGGTGGAATATTGCTAAAAGCGGCGTAAAACCATACTCACTCACTCACACATGACCACGTGCATCCACCAAATAAATAACGTGAGCAGCCTCCTGCACTATGACCTACGCGACCATCACCAACAACACCAACAACAACAACATCATTCTAGCCAGCTGCACCCACCACACGGCCTTTGTTTGCTCGTTTTGTTCTGTCTCCTGACCTCTGTTCCTGAAGCACCACGACAACATCGTTCGGGTCCGTCAGGCTGTATCTCAGAATATCCTGGAACCAATCAGAAATCAGATATTTACACGGTGCTAAGAAGCTGAAGATACACACCATACAATAGGTGAGGTGAGGTAAAATGGGGTTTCACATCGTGTCCAAGATTATTGTAATAATATAGCGATGTGCATGCATGTATGTGTGTGTGTGTGTGTGTGGCTGCTTGTACTAGTCCGGACTGATGTTGATTTATAGTGCTAGCTCACTGAGATACCATGCCGCAGTTTAACATGGATACCCCATTCAGACACAGTATATTGACTCCGAGCCGATCAATCTTTGTTTTAGCCCCTGAAAGACAAGCGCCAGACAGGTTAACAACAAGTACCATCTTTTAACGTTTTTTGGTATGACGTGCCTAGGGATTGAATCCCAGACCTTTCGGATGCTCAACCACTAGACCAAGGAGGTGGCCACACCATACAACAGATACATCCCATAATATGGGTATACCCAATCCTGATTCTCTGTATAATAACAACATAATTTGCTGTGTATTGAGTGCCAATCCTGATTCTCTATATATTAACAACATAATTTGCTGTGTATTGAGTGCCAATCCTGATTCTCTATATAATAACAACATAACTTGCTGTGCATTGAGAGCCAATCCTGATTCTCTATGTAACAACAACATAACTTGCTGTGCATTGAGAGCCAATCCCGATTCTCTATGTAACAACAACATAACCTGCTGTGTATTGAGAGCCAATCCCCATTCTCTGTATAATAACAACATAACTTGCTGTGTATTGAGTGCCAATCCCCATTCTCTGTATAATAACAACATAACTTGCTGTGTATTGAGAGCCAATCACGATTCTCTATGTAACAACAACATAACTCGCTGTGTATCAATTGCCAATCTCATTAAAATCACATCTTAGTTCTCGCTACCGCTAAACAAAGATCTGAGGACATCCCATTACGGTTCACGTCAGACCGACCTTGTGCGAACTTTGACCAACCAATAGACTGACCAATCAGAAGGGAGCTTTCTTGTGCTTTATGGCACCTATTTCAAATTAGCGACAACGCTTCGAAACATATTTTGACAAATTCTCGATTACAAATTTGAAACCTGAACAAAAGAACATTCTGGGATGGCTAATAGATGATCTAGATTGTATGGATTCAGTCGTTAAACCCGTTCGGAATACCCCGTGTTAAAGTTTTCGAGGTTGCATTTCGAGGTAGAAATCACATTCCGACTGTCACTTTCATAATCTGGTAAGCGACGCTCTGATTAGTCGGATGAAAGGTCGTTCTGACATGACCCCTTATGGGATGTCTTCAGATCTTTGTTCAGGGGTAGCGAGAACTTAGGTCTTATTTTAATGAGATTGATCAACTGCCAATCTCTAATAGTCTGGGGCGGTCGGGTAGCCTGGTGGTTAAAGCGTTCGCTCGTCATGCCGAAGACCCGAAGAGTCGTGAACTCGGTTCAATGAAACCGGTGACCTCAGCATATGGGTTTTGCAACGGTGCAAAATCTGCACGTGCGTCTCGCAATGGCATGAAATCTGCACATGCGTCTCGTAGGCTGTTCGTAGTTTTTGTTCTATCAAGGGTTTACAATGATTGTCCTCCTGCGAGGTGTTACCACAATTTCAAAAACTCCATATAGGTACACGAACAGCCAGTAGGTTTATAAGTATAACAAGGTACTCACTGAACTGTTAGCAGGTGTTACAAATATTATCTGACACTGGCCGTTGCCCTTGGTAACCTCAGGTGCTGACGTGAGGGGTAAAATTGGTTCCCCATCGTTATCATGACTGGGCCAATAAATCTGTAGATCTATCGTCTCCGTCGAACTGGGGCCGAGATTTTGTACCTGATGAAATGTAAGAGCCATACGGTTATGTCGACAAAAGTGATGATATAAGTGATGATATTTGGAATTATATTTATATCTAAATAAGGCAATTAATTACACCAATGACAACAACAAAATTTCACATTATTTCTAAAGTTTAGAACTGAAACAGCGTTAAGTCCATATATATTTCCACTGATTGAAGGTTTCTCCCAACTCTTGTTGCCTGAATATAGGTCACATGTGCCCCCCATAAAGAAGTGATGTAGCTCACCTGATAAAGATGTTCAACAGGTCGTGTTCGAATTTGGTCGTTATTCAGTCGCACTCGAGATGTGTTTACAATAATCTGTTCGGGAGTGGATTTTCTGCAATTAAAACAATAATCAGATATATGCAATAAAACATAAAAGAAGAAATTTAGTAAAATCTAAATATTTTTTCCATTTGTATTCTTATACTGCATTACTCCTTAATGCAGAAAGCTTTGTTTAGCGGTAGCGAGAACTAAGATCCGATTTTAATGAGATTGCACATAGAAAGTCCCTTAAACAATCTGTAGTTAGAGTCCCTTTAACAATCTTGAGACAGTCCCTTTAACAATCTGCAGACAGAGTCTCTTTAACCTACCCGTTGATGAGGATGTCAGCTGCTGCAGTGACAGGGATGGAGACACTGGCGTAGTTGTTGACGGTGTCAGTCAGGTTCTCGGGGTTAGAACTGGAACAAGTAACAAGAAGTAGTGTACATTGAACCATCATGGCAACAGTTCCATGATTGTCTGGAACCACAACTTTGTGTCAGTCTAGAAAATATTGTATTGCTTGTATGACCATGTAGAGAGTTGCTACAGTACTATTCCCCATACAACAGACTTTAGTCATCGACAACCATAACAAGTGTTAATATTCAAGACAGATAGAAGAAAGTGATCCTTTGACATACTTTGCATATGATAGCCATGAAGAGCATGTTCTGGGTTTTACATTTTATTTTTTAACTTAATTACATAATTTTGCCAAGGTTTTATTCATTTTACTCTTCAATCTTATATGGTTAGAGGTACCTGGGCAAATATTCTTATACCAAAGATGTACATTATATTTATGCACAAGAAATATGTTTATATTTAGTGACAGTGAACTATATAGTCTTGAAGTCTACTTTTCTCAAGAATATTGACATAGCCTTTAATTTCCTCAATAGAATGATCACAATTACAGTTTCTATCTGTAATTCTTGACCAGTGATTGAAATAAAAAATATGCCAGACTTCGATCAAGACCCAAGCTACAGACCCTGACTAAACTCTTCAGACCTTCACTTATTGTGTCAAATAAATGGACATGTTAATTTACAGCAGGCCAGAAAGACCCTTAGAAATTTGAAACAAAATCACAAAACCTGCCTGCCTTGGGCCTTATTTAGAATATAAATTGCACTTACAAATACATGATGATTAATGGCTGACTGCAGAGAACAAAGGGACAAGTTGTGCATGTGCACGACTTATGTTTACCTGGTTAATACCAAAATATGGACTGATAAACGAACTGTGGTTAAAATTAATATGCATATTTACAGAATCAAAACTCAAGATACGACTGATAAACAGAAGATGATTATAATGGGGCATTAAGGTAATTACGTTCTGGAATACAAAATAAGGAATAATTAATAAACAGTGATTTGGAAAGGCTGATGTGTATTCCAATAGTTTTAACAAAAGTAGGAATATATATGAAATGGAAAGTGATAATACCTTTGTGATGCAAGTAAGGCTATTAAACCCAGTTAGAGATACAAGTAGGAGATATAAGCATAGTGTGCTATGTACATTAAGGGACCTTGTCCAAGCAGATGATGCCATAAACTACCGTATTCCACGTAATAAGTGCCCCGCTCTAATAAGTGCCCACGGCGATATTTGATAATATATTGGCTAGTGAATAATCCCAATTAGCTACCCTTCCGATTGATCAATGTACACAAGACTTATTTATTCGTGTATAATATGCACTTGTGGGTTATATGCACCCTTAGTTATGGGCAATTAAATTCTGGAAAAATATCTCTCTCGTTTATAAATATTTCAGGCTGTCAGCATAAACCACGAAATTTATCTTTCAACTTTTTTTCACCAAAATAATATTCTGATAAGAGCCCCCTATTTCTAATTTTGAGAGCGCCATGGGCACTAGCGAATACGGTATACTAAAATATTTAAGTACCAATGAAACATAAATGAAAGGTGGAGAATGTGAAGATTTGACTGAAATACCTGAATGTACAGCTTGACACAAGTTTGTGATCAATGTCATTATAGGATAATTTGGCAGGATCAAACAAAACATTCCCAAACCGAGTATTATACGGTATTATTATGACAATAAAATAAATAATGTTCCAGTTTATCTATTTCTCCAGGTCACAAGTTCTCGCATCTCACCTGTTGACTTCAAGAGCAAACACGAGTTGGTCGTTGGTTCCATTGAAATCCTTTGGAGACACCTTGAGTGTGAAGTTGGTCTGAAAGAACATTATTATTTCTCAGCAAACTTGATATTGAGGAAAATTGGGTGTTATCAGTGTTTCGAATAGGCCAAGTTAAAATGTTATTGGTTCTCATGACTTTCTTCAAAATCTCTTTGTAGGAAGAGAGGAAATTTGAATGTCCTTTCAATGATACCGATACAGAGCCCCCTGCCATCAACTCACCTTAGCTCGCGTCGGAAGTGGGTTTCCCAGGTCACAGTTCACCATGTCCTCGTTGTTTATTCTCAAACGGTCACAGCTCACCGGCGCCACCTGGCGGAAATATTCACAGCATGACAGAAACGCCAACTCCTTTAAACACTGAGCATCAAAACTTAAGAATTCAGAGGATCAATGTCATTCGATGATCTGCCTTGGACCCCCAAATTTTTTAATGAGAGTCCATGAACTTGAAAATAGACAGGCCCAAGTAAATCCCTGTATAATCAAATTTATCATCAAGAACTCCAAAGGAGTTATCATTTGGTTGAGATCAAGCGATGTCTCTTTGGAGATATCGCTTCAATGAAATTGCATCACCAAGCTTTGAAGACCATGAGTGAGTATGGTTTTACGCCGCTTTTAGCAATATTCGAGCAATATCATGGCGGGGGACACCAGAAATGTGTGAAGCCCATTTCTTGTGTCCCCCACCGTGATATTGCTGGAATATTGCTAAAAGCGGCGTAAAACCATACTCACTCACTCACTCACTCACTTGAAGACCATGATGACCACAAAGGCTGGCTAGCTGTTGTTTTTACACAAACAAACACTGGTTATTTCTGTTTACAAACTGAAAAAGTTGGAAGAAAGATTTTGATGAAAAAAGAATCTCACCCTTGTCTTTTGATATCAAATACATCAGTGAGTGAGTGAGTCAAAATTTTATGTCACATCAAATACATCAACATTGTCCGTTTAAAACGCCAAGCGTTTTATCGACTTATGTTGATATGTTTGACATCCAAAGACCCTCAGGTGAGATTCTCTATGTATTAAAGACTGGCAATGTCTGACGTGACTGACTGACTGACCCCCTGCATGCTCTGCACGCCCTGGATGCCCTTGATGGACACGCCCTGCGGCAGGTTGATGAACAGCTGTGTGTTGAAGGCATCCTCCCCGCGGTTCTCCACCATGATGAGGATCTCCAACTCCGTCGTCGTGCCGATGATGTGGGCCGCAGACACCCTGTGAAGTCACACCATTGGCATTAATGTCATGTTGGACAATATTTCATTGCACAGACTCTCGGAATAGCATGGGGTTAGTGTGTGAGTGCGTATGGTTTTACACCGCTTTTATCAATATTCCAGCTATATCACTGTATGGGAAACCAGAAATGGGCTTCACACATTGTACTTATGCGGGGAATTTAACGTGACGAGCGAACGCTTTAACCACTAGGCTACCCCACCGCCCCAATTAACATGGGAGAAATGTTGATGTTCAGCACTTCGTGACAAACACAAGCAATGGTGCTAACAAACCTAGACTCATACCCAGAGAGATCACAAATTGAAAACCATGAACACAGAATCCTGGCCCTGACTAAGGGTCATAACTCTGCTGCACTGTGCCCCTACAGCAATGAAAACTAGCCAATCATAACAGGAGTTCATTGTTCATGTATCAGCAAGTTGTAACTCATTACAAGTAAGAAATATTGTACTGCAACAGGGTGATCAAAATTGTATCAAAATGTTTATTGTGAACAACCAAACATTTTCTCCATTATGTGAGCAGCCATCTTCCCGAGGCAAGAGAGTTAAATGACTTTAAAAGTCCAGTTTCCACCCTTGACAAACTAGGCTGGAATTCCTGGACTCGATTGTAGCACCACCAGTGGCTATTACAAGTTATGACCCTTCTATGCCTCTCCTTAGGACCAATCTGATTCCACCTCTCATATCACTTGCATTTGCTTCAAACAAAATGGCGACACCCAGTCAAGACGATCTGATCGATAACGAAGATCTATTATGTGATAAAACGGGTTTACATTGTGAAGTGCATCAAATCACGTAAGCGCCTTGATTAAAAACATGAAAATATTTGGAAAATATCTGTTGACAAAGAGTTGGTGGTGCAAATGCTGTGCAAATCCTGCAATTGACCGAAATCTGCACGACAGTTTACGAACCCTATTTCGATTTCGTTGCGCGATTGTGATTGGAGTATGCATAGACTCGTTAGTCCAGCCAAAATGTAACTCCATAATACCAGCCTAGTTCGGCAAGGGTGGAAACTGGACTTTTATAGTCAGGTAACTCCCTTGCCTCAGGAAGATGGTGATCAGCTGTTTCTCAGAAGTTGCTACACATATAATTAAGATACAGACAGAGGCTAAAGAACTGCCCAGGGTTGTCGTAACCTTGTGCATCTTTGGTGTTCCCGATCAGCACAACTCACCTGAAGGAGTGGACCCGGAGGTCTGGGTAACAGACGTTATCTCGGCCACAGTTTTTCAAGATTTGAGCCTGGAAGGAGACAGCAATAAAACATAAGGACTTCAATAATCTCAGATGTACTATCCTACAATCTAAAGGATTTATGACATGGATTGGAGTCAATGCCATTCCACCTTCTTCTTCTTCTACTACTACCATCAGTACCACCACCACTGCCGCTGCTGCCGCTGTTGCCACTGCTACTACTACTACTACTACTTTGTTCACTAAATCCACCTAGGGATGCAAGCTCACAGTACTACATTAAAGACAGAGGTGTAAACAGGAAGTTGAAGTTTGTATTATTATCACTATTATCATGTAGACGGGACATATGTGTCTGGTACCTCTGTCCGGACCGAGGTCCTGATGTACTGGTCCAGGATGGGGTCCAGTGACCTCTTCTTACGATTGCTGCTTCCTGACTTCACCGTCCTCAGTGCAAACTTGAAGTCTACAGCAATGGGTGTAAGTTTGTCTGAGATGTCATCCTGTAAAAGTGACCAATGGCAGTTACAAACTTCTGCATATTCACAGCTGGACATTTATGTACAGTCAACACCTGTCAATTTGGACTGTACCATACTGACTTGACAAGTAAAGGTGCCCTTATTCACAAACTTTCCGAACCACAAATACCGTATTCGACGTAATAAGCGCCCCGCTCTAATAAGTGCCCATGCTGATATTTGCTAATATATTGGCTCGTGAACAATTCCAATTAGCACCCTTTCCGATTGACCAATGTACACAATACTTATTTATTCGCGTATTATACGCACTCGTGTGTAATATCCACTTTTAATTATGGGCAATTAAATTCAGGAAAAATATATCTCTCGTATATAAACATTTCAGGCTGTCAGCATTAACCACGGAATTTATCTTTCAACACTGTTTTTTTCGACAAAATAATATTCTAATAAGAGCCCCCTATTTCTAATTTTGAGATCGCCCTAGGCGCTTATTACGTCGAATACAGTACTTGAGACCAAGTTTGTGGTTTGACTGTTTTCATTGTATTTACTGCTGATGCATGACAAATCATGGTCAGTTTAAATGTTCTCCTCCCTGTGATATAATATTACACACATAAACACACCTAAAGTTGATTATGATACCGAGTTAAGTGTCAGTTCCTGGATTAACAGAGTCTTACTAAACATGGCTGCTCACACCACACACAATACTAAACTACAAATACGAAAAGTGGGTACACTGGGTTTGTTTGTTTTTTAACTCCAAAAATGCAAACATATTTTGAAATCAATATGTCCTAAACAAATACGTAAAAAATGTTTACTTAATCATTAGACCAAAACCACTGTTGACAGTATGATATCAGAGATTCCATTCAGTGCCACAAAGCACCACAAGCCCCGCCCATTATATCATTAGCCAATCAGAAAACTGTAGTCTGTTAGTGTACGATGCCTAATTATTTTTTATTTATGACACAAAAAGATTGCTTCGTTGGCCAATCAAATGCAACATCATCACTTGCAAATTATTTATGCAAATATTAACAAATTTAGAAATCCCAGCAACGTACCAGGACGTATGCAAAGGAGGAGGTGCACCACGTGGCCTTCTTGGTCAGTTTGACCGTGTTCTTCTCCACCACGTCCTTCTCAGTGGTCAGGTAGTACGCCCGCTGCTCCTCCCGAGACCGATTCCGCTGCAGCGTGTCCAACTCCCAGGTCAGGTCGAAGACTGCAACAGTGTTTCACAATTGTACATGATGTATATATGGCACAGTATATCATGTATATATTACACTGTATATCATGTATATTTAACACTGATGTATATATAAAACTGTAATACCATGTATATATAACACTGTATATCATGTATATATAGCACGGTATATCATGTATATATAGCACCGTATATCATGTATATATACATAACATAACACTATGTCATGTATATATAACACTGTATATCATGTATATATAACACTGTACATCATGTATATATAGCACCGTATATCATGTATATATACATAACATAACACTATGTCATGTATATATAACACTGTATATCATGTATATATAACACTGTACATACCATGTATATATAACACTGTATATCATGTATATATAACACTGTACATACCATGTATATATAACACTGTATATCATGTATATATAACACTGTACATACCATGTATATATAACACTGTAGATGATGTATCATGTATATATAACACTGTAGATCATATATATATAACACTGTATATCATGTATCATGTATGTATAACACTGTATGTCATGTATATATAACTGTACATACCATGTATATATAACACTGTACATCATGTATATATAACACTGTACATACCATGTATATATAACACTGTATGTCATGTATATATAACACTGTATATTGTGTATATATAACACTGTATATTATGTATATATAACACTGTATATTGTGTATATATAACACTGTATATTATGTATCATGTATGTATAACACTGTAGATCATATATATATAACACTGTATATCATGTATCATGTATGTATAACACTGTATGTCATGTATATATAACTGTACATACCATGTATATATAACACTGTACATCATGTATATATAACACTGTACATACCATGTATATATAACACTGTATATCATGTATATATAACACTGTACATACCATGTATATATAACACTGTATATCATGTATATATAACACTGTACATACCATGTATATATAACACTGTATATCATGTATATATAACACTGTATGTCATGTATATATAACACTGTATGTCATGTATATATAACACTGTATATTGTGTATATATAACACTGTATATTATGTATATATAACACTGTATATTGTGTATATATAACACTGTATATTATGTATATATAACACTGTATATTGTGTATATATAACACTGTATATTATGTATCATGTATGTATAACACTGTATGTCATGTATATATAACACTGTACATACCATGTATATATAACACTGTAGATGATGTATCATGTATATATAACACTGTAGATCATATATATATAACACTGTATATCATGTATCATGTATGTATAACACTGTATGTCATGTATATATAACATTGTATATCATGTATATATAATGCTGTATATGATGTATATATACTATTGAGTGTCATTCATATATCACACTGTATATCATGTATATTAAACACTGTCTATCATGTGTGTATTTAACACTGTATATTCGCGCATCATGGAATTTGCTCACGTGAGGCACTGACTTCATCAGCTGATGAACGTCAACAAATACAACTTCAATCCTTAAATAACTCTGTATGTCATGTATATACAACACTGTATGTTATGTTTATATAACACTGTATGTCAGATACATATAACACTGTATGTCATGCATATATAACACTGTATGTCATGCATATATAACACTGTATGTCATGCATATATAACACTGTATGTCATGTATATATAACACTGTATGTCATGTATATATAACACTGTATGTCATGTATATATAACACTGCATGTCATGCATATATAACACTGCATGTCATGTATATATAACACTGTATGTCATGTATATATAACACTGTATGTCATGCATATATAACACTGTATGTCATGTATATATAACACTGTATGTCATGTATATATAGCACTGTATGTCATGTATATATAACACTGTATGTCATGTATATATAGCACTGTATATCATGTATATATAACACTGTATGTCATGTATATATAACACTGTATGTCATGTATATATAACACTGTATGTCACGTATATATAACACTGTATGTCATGTATATATAACACTGTATGTCATGTATATATAACACTGTATGTCATGTATATATAACACTGTATGTCATGTATATATAACACTGTATGTCATGTATATATAACACTGTATGTCATGTATATATAACACTGTATGTCATGTATATATAACACTGTATGTCATGTATATATAACACTGTATGTCATGTATATATAACACTGCATGTCATGCATATATAACAATGTATGTCATGTATATATAACCATGTATATCATATACAGTTGTGATACACTATGTAGAAATGTCACTGTGTTGTGAAACACTGTGTATAAGAACACAGTGTATGACAACTGTACACAATGTACAAGGACTGCGCACAGTGTGCAGCAATCAGCAGAACACAGGACAAGGACTGCGCACAGTGTGCAGCAATCGGCAGAACACAGGTGTGGCAGCGTCTCCTGCAGCAGTACTCACACAGCTCCTCAGCCACGCCCTGGCCAGTGTACTCCAGACATGTGTACACCGTCAGACTGAAACAGCAAGATTCACACATCACACAAGGCACATGTCAGGAAATGTCGAAGTGGTGGAACAAGTAACGCTTCTAAAATATGAAATAAAACTGTATATCTTCAAACTGTGATGTGGTACTGTTGAACGACAGAGGTTTGGGTATTCTCACTACAGACACAAGAACTTGTTCAACTCTCAAAATGGTCAAGGGTTCCAAACAACTCTCCTTGTTTCACACTGTGAGATTGTTGAAATACCGTATTCCACGTAATAAGTGCCCTGCTCTAATAAGCGATATTTGATAATATATTTGCTAGTGAACAATCACAATTAGCACCCTTCCGATTGATCAATGTACACTAGACTTATTTATTCGCGTATAATACGCACTCGTGTGTTATATGCATTCTTAATTATGGGCAATTAAATTCTGGAAAAATGTATCTGTCGCATATAAACATTTCAGTGTGTCAGCATAAACCATGAAATTTATATTTTAACTCTCTTTTTTCCACCAAAATAATATTCTAATAAGAGCCCCCTATTTCTAATTTTGAGAGCGCCCTGGGCGCTTATTACGTCTAATACGGTAACCTAAAGTGAAGCAAGACCATCCTTCATAACTTATGCCATCATCCCTTTTCTTAGGCGGATTCAGAGGGGGGGGGGGGGAGCGGGATGTGCGTGTGTGTCCATGGGGACACCTTTTGAAAACCAAATGTAGTATAGGCAGTAAAATTATCTGAGGGAGGGTTTTGATATTTTGGACCCCTCCCTTTGAAAAATGCTGGATCCACCCTTGCTTTCCCCTCCATGGCAACCAGTCAGACTCCATGACAACCAGTCAGACTCCTGCCCTCCCTGTCTTTGCCCCTCTGATTCCCCCTCTGCGGGGACGGTAGACCTAGTTGGAGGATCTGCTGATGATAAGTTTAAATCCCAGGGTAACGCTGATCATAAATCTTTGTCAGCACCTCTGTAATTTTGGACTTGATGCCCATAGCATTGTAACATGACTGAATACTGTGAAAAGTAGTGTCAGAATCCAAACTCACTCACTCACTCACTCACTCACACTACAACGTACCATGTGACTCTCTTGTCATCAATGAGGGAGCAGCTCCGATGGTCGAGGTTGATAACAACAGGGTCAATCTTGAGACTAGCGTATACACGCACCACAGGGCGAGTTCTGTAAAACACCAAATACCAACCCTTACATACTCTTGTCACCAACTCATGTAACAATCCTCTTTAAGAATTATTCAAAATATAAAAAAAACATCGTTTCTACTATTGACTGAGCACAGATAATATTATCAACCTGAAATTTTTTTGACTAAACTTGGGTTTTGGAACAGACTGATGAAAATCGATCCCAGAATGCAGTGAAATGAGTTTATATATCACCTTAGGAAAACTGCTTTGTCTGCCCCATAGGCACCAACCAGGAGATCTGGAAACAATCAAACAATATAATAACAGCAATTATGATACATGTATATGTATAACCTGTTTTTCAAACAAGTTTAATCTTTTTCATGTATAGATTAAGAAAATATAGTGCGGGCAGGCGTTGGTTTTTTTTTTGCTGTTCAAACAGGTATACAAGGGAGATAACTGGGTGTACAAGGGAGATAACTGACATGTCTACAAGGGGGACAACTGACAGGCTGTACAAGGGAGATAACTGAAGGGTATACAAGGGAGATAACTGACTGGGGTATACAAGAGAGATAACTGAGAGGGGTATACAAGGGAGATAACTGACAGGTATACAAGGGAGATAAGTGACAGGGTTACAAGTGAGATAACTGAAGAGTATACAAGGGAGATAACTGATCGGAATATATAAGCGAGAACTGACGGGTATACAAGGGAGATAACTGACCGGGGTATGTATTGCCATCCTGGTCCATGCCCCCGGAGAGAGAGTAGCCGAAGGTAAACAGTCCTGTGTCCAGGTCCTTGGGGAGGATGATCTGAAACACAATACATATATTAAGCTCTTCTCTACAGTTTATGGTCTTCCAGTCGTGAGTGAACGAGTGAGGGAGTTGGGTATATGGGCACATTAAGTTACCTCACACGATAAGTAGAAATCAGCTGCTGCGAAACTAAGGCAAAAAAAGTCGAGTTTACAAGAAATAAAATAATCCTTTCAACCAGTATCACATTAGGGACAAGTGGCATAGTCTACCCTAGTAAAAGTCACGATATGGCTGAATTACAGCCGATGTGACTTTAAATATTAACCCACTCACTCTACCCTGGTAATGTGATGTCTGATTAATATTGGAAAGCTAAGTGGTTAAAGCGTTCACTCGTCACACTGAAGATCCGGGTTCTTTCCCAACAATAATCAAAACCCATTTCTGGTGTCCCCCGCTGTGATATTGCTGGAATATTGCTAAAAGCAGCGTAAAACCATACTCACTCTAGCAGATAAGTCTACTCATGTATTTTAAAAAATTCAAATGAACTATGAATTCAAGAAATTGAAATGGCTTTCTGTATCTTAACAAAATCATGAAAATTTACTCAATTTAATCAAGTGTCACATTAGATTCTTTTGACAAGATTGCGTACCTGTGACACCTGTGTGATGATGCCCTTCTTGGAACCATGGTAGATGTAGACGGCCCCCTTGTGATCCTCGCCTGCGTAAGGAGCTCCCACAGCCAGATCTGGGGAAACAGACATTGTCGTGTCAACATATAGATCTATCCCGGGTCAGAACATGTCCCAGTAGACTTGTAGGGGGATCGAGTGGTCAGCCTTGGTGACCTGACTGATTGTATGCTGTACCCCAACACTGTGGGATGTTGTTCATAATATCAACCACTGGTTTGTCTGGCCCAGACTTGATTATTTACAGGTCAGTGTGATATAGCTGGAATGATGCTGACCGCAACAACAACAAAACAACAACAAACTGATAACAGATTTCACCAGGTTACAAACATCAAGACCACAGGGGTCATAAATCTGTCACTCTAAATGAAAAGGACCGCCTCCGTGGTCTAGTGGTAGAGCGTCCGCCTGGAGAGCGGAAGGTCCGGGGTTCGATCCCTGGCCGCGTCATACCAAAAGACGTTAAAAGATGAAACTTGTTGTTACCCTGTCTGGCGCTAGGCATTAAGGGGCTAAAACAAGGACTGGTTGGCTCGGAGTCAGTATACTGTGTCTGAGTGGGATATTCATGTTAAACTGCGGCATGGTATCTCAGTGGGCTAGCACTATAAATCGGCATCAGTCCGGACTAGTACAAGCAGCCACACACACACACGTGCATGCACGTCGCTATATAAGTGCAATAATCTTGGATGGGACGTTAAACCCAATTTCACCTCACCTACCAAATGAAAAATAGATACTTAATGCGAGCAACCAGTCCAACAACAAATTATGTGGAATGACAAAAAAACTGTTTGATAGGCATTACTTGAGTTGATGGATGACAAAGTAGACACAATTTATGGACAACAACTTCTGTAAAGGCGACTTTTCCGTATAGATTCTTTTACTGTTGTCAAGCTTGACAACGGTATAAGGATCTATACCGAAACATTGCCTTTATGGTAAATAAAGAAGTTGTTATCCATAAATTGTATCTGCTTTGTGACAAATTAATGTTTCTTTTATAAACTTGTCAGAAACAACCCAAATATGCAACCATTTCAACAAGGGTAGATAACTCCAGCTGGCCAACTCACCATTATATCCGTCATAGTTGATGTCGCCGAGTTTGGTGAGGGCGTGCCCAAATCTTGACAAGCTCTCCTTGCCATCAAGAATATCTTTCTTGCTGGCCTTGAACGTGTGCTGTGACAAATTGTAAATTAGATGATTACAAGCAATCAGAACAATGCTAAATTGAGGCTATTAGGAATATATGGGATAATGCAGGTCTAAAATTAATTTTTCAAAACAATAAAAATGGTTTTAATAAAATCAATCATGTTTAGCACTACATCTTATTACCCAAATTACTGGCAATGTTTCTTGACAAAACTTAATTGTTTGGGTGGCATTTGGTTCAAAATATCATTATTAATTAATTATGTCACCTAAATTTACTTATTGATGTTGGAGGTGGTGGTGTATGCACTGGATTAAACTTCATCTTGAGCCAAATCACTCAGAGTTAAACCCAAGAAGATCTGGAGTAGAATAGGTCTTCAGCAACCCAGGCTTTCTGTAATAGGCGACTATGATTGTCGTAAGAGGCGACTGAAAGGATTGGGTGGTCAGGCTCATTGACTAGGTTGATGCATGTCATCGTATTCCAATTGCGTGGATCAATGCTCATGATATCAATCACTGGATTGTCTGGTCTAGACTCGATTATTTACAGACTGACTTCATAAAGCTGGAATATTGCTGAGTGCAGCATTAAACAACAAACAAACAAACAAAAACAACCAGAGTTAACAGAGCAGCAAGCACATTGCGGTCTTCAGAGGCGTCTTCATAATGAAAACAACTGAACAGTCTTTGTGAACTAGCAATCATTTCAACTGTAAATACACTGAACTAATACTGGTTTGTATTTCCTACTGAAGCTCACCTTCTCTGACTGGTAGAATATGTACACTCTTCCTGTCTCGTAGGTCTTGGAGGTCTTCAAGACTGCATAGAACGGAGCCCCAACAATGATATCATCCAGGCTGAGAACATATCATGAGATAAATGAAGATATCACACAAGCTTATGTGTTAAATGTAGATATCACACATGCATCTCAATCCACACAACCCCAATCGATATTGTTTTCAGCCGTTGGCTTTATCCTGCCAAGAAACCTACCCATTATATGATAAATCTAGTTATTACCTATAAGGGCAAACATATCGAGATTCATAAAAATCATATGTGCCCGAGGGTCACATCATGTCACGAGACAACAGTGTATTGTTTTTGTCATCTGGACGTCATTGTTGACTTCATTCGAATCTTATTGTGAAGTCAGGTTGGAATGATGTCACACTAGAAACTACATACCTGAAGATTGTTGATGTCATTTCACAAATTGTGGTTTTCTAGGTGATTAGTGCAATTTTATTTCTGTCTGGAATGATGTCACTTTAGAAACTTCATAGCTGAAGATTGTTGATGTCATTTCACAAATTGTGGTTTTCTAGGTGATTAGTGCAATTTTATTTCTGTCTGGAATGATGTCACACTAGAAACTTCATAGCTGAAGATTGTTGATGTCATTTCACAAATTGTGGTTTTCTAAGTGATTAGTGCAATTTTATTTCTGTCTGGAATGATGTCACACTAGAAACTTCATAGCTGAAGATTGTTGATGTGATTTCACAAATTGTGGTTTTCTAGGTGATTAGTGCAATTTTATTTCGGTCTGGAATGATGTCACACTAGAAACTTCATAGCTGAAGATTGTTGATGTCATTTCACAAATTGTGGTTTTCTAGGACAGCGGAGGTGATCCGTGCAATTTTGTTTCTAAATTCATCTCTGTATGTCGACATCTTCTTCGGTAATAAATAGAACGTTATATTCGTGTTCATGTCATACTATGTTTACGACACTCGTGCCTAAATTCCGGTATTTAGACACTCATGTCATGAATATAGTATGACATGAACAGAAACATAATATCCTCTATATATCACACGAGCCTATGAGATAAATGTCTATCCACTGAGCACAAAAAAAAACACTACAAGAGGACTCACTCATCTCCGTCCAAGTCTGTCACTGCCAGGGAATATCCAAAGTAGGCACCAACCTGCAAACAAGATACCGAGATTACAAGTTGTCCATAAATAGGTCCTGGCAATCTGAAACTCAGCTTGAAAAATACACTAAGGACAGCATGATTGGTCAACTGAAACCATCAAGCTGACACTCCCAGAGATAACTGTGATACTTCGCACAGCGGTGTTAAACCAGCGGTGTTAGGATACATAAATGTTTACTTTAAAGGAATCATAAAAAATATATACTCTCAACTCATTTTAACAAAAAAACAATACATGTTTTATACTCTGTAACTTACATAATCAGGTCATGACAATGGGTGTGACTTTCTTCAATTACTGTTTTATATATAAGTGTTATTTTTCAGTGAAGGATACATAAATGTTTACTTAAAGGAATCATAAAAAATATATACTCTCAGCTCATTTTAACAAAAAACAATACATGTTTTATTCTCTGTAACTTACATAATCAGGTCGTGACAATGGGTGTGACTTTTTTCAATTACTGTTTTATATATAAGTGTTATTTTTCAGTGAAGGATACATAAATGTTTACTTAAAGGAATCATAAAAAATATATACTCTCAGCTCATTTTAACAAAAAACAATACATGTTTTATTCTCTGTAACTTACATAATCAGGTCGTGACAATACGCGTGACTTTCATCAATTACTGTTTTATATATAAGTGTTATTTTTCACAGTGTAGGATACATAAATGTTTACTTAAAGGAATCATAAAAAATATATACTCTCAACTCATTTTAACAAAAAAACAATACATGTTTTATACTCTGTAACTTACATAATCAGGTCATGACAATGGGTGTGACTTTCTTCAATTACTGTTTTATATATAAGTGTTATTTTTCAGTGAAGGATACATAAATGTTTACTTAAAGGAATCATAAAAAATATATACTCTCAGCTCATTTTAACAAAAAACAATACATGTTTTATTCTCTGTAACTTACATAATCAGGTCGTGACAATGGGTGTGACTTTTTTCAATTACTGTTTTATATATAAGTGTTATTTTTCAGTGAAGGATACATAAATGTTTACTTAAAGGAATCATAAAAAATATATACTCTCAGCTCATTTTAACAAAAAACAATACATGTTTTATTCTCTGTAACTTACATAATCAGGTCGTGACAATACGCGTGACTTTCATCAATTACTGTTTTATATATAAGTGTTATTTTTCACAGTGTAGGATACATAAATGTTTACTTAAAGGAATCATAAAAAATATATACTCTCAACTCATTTTAACAAAAAAACAATACATGTTTTATACTCTGTAACTTACATAATCAGGTCGTGACAATGGGCGTGACTTTCTTCAATTACTGTTTTATATATAAGTATTATTTTTCACAGTGTAGGATACATAAATTTTTACTTTAAAGGAATCATAAAAAATATATACTCTCAACTCATTTCAATGTTTTAGCTATCCAGACTTTATTCCTTACAACAAGAATAATAATAATGATGATAAAAATAACATGAAATGAGAGATTCTTCAGTGTCAACACAAAATGAAAACCTGAAAATTACTTCTGTCTTTGCCTGATGTTGATTGCAAAATTCAACAACAATAAAAATACAACATTATCAATTACAAATAATAGTAACATTTGAGTAGACGAAGTTTACACAAATAATCAAACTAATTTCTCTCCTAATTCTCCTGACATTTCCAGGCAGTTTGGAATCTGGAGTGCATGCAGGGTCTCCACTTAGTACATAAATGATGATTGTTTTGCCCTTGTTGGCAAATATGATCTCATATCACATGGTCACATATGGAATAATGTTGATTGAGAGGGAATACGATGACATATTTATCCACCTAGTCTCATAATGATGCTCGATGGAGGAATATATGAATATAAAGCTATTCTGGACGGTATTAAGGTATTAGATAGGATGTGAGGTGAGAACCTGTGGTGATTATCAGGGAAATTAAGTTGTATTTAAATGTATAACATCTGACAGCCCCGCTCCAATCTTCACTCCATGACTACAAGTGAATGTTAGCTAAATCTAGTGGAGGTTTATGGTACACAATATATTGAAAAGGCTGATTGGCTGAGATATGTCGCACTTGTCTCCTATTCTGGTTTATGCAATATTGAGTGAGTGAGTAAGTTGGTTTAACGCCACTTTCAGCAATATTCCAGCAATATCACGATGGGGGACACCAGACATACACTTCACACATTGTGTTTGTTTGTTGTTTAACGCTACACTCAGCAATATTCCAGCTGTATGACGGCGGTCTGTAAAAATCGGGTCAGGATCAGACAATCCAGTGATTGACATCATGAGCATGACAGGCAACAACCAAGTCAGTAAGCCTGACCACCCAATCCTGTTAGTCGCCTCTTACGACAAGCATAGTTGCAATTTGTGGGCAGGATTTTTTTATTTGTCTTTGCTGAGGGTTGTTCAAACTAGACCTAGTAAGTAACCAAACAAACAGTTGTGTACAATCAACCTAGGAAAGGGCTTCCCTATAATTGTATTCCTTGATGAGTAAAATACTGGAATACAGTATTTGACTACCGACTTGGAATATTTAAGGATTTTTTTGTTTGTTTAAAAATGGAAATAAAAACGAAATGTGTGGCGAACTTTATGATGATGTGGGCGGTGCCTGAGAAATAATTTTTCTTTTTTTTAGCCAAATATATGATCTACGGTACAATAAAACATTGTACTATCATGACCTCATTTCTGGAGATTCAAACATGTGCTCGCAACTTCATGACATCATTAATTGGACAACATTATTTTTTAGAGGGAGATGTCTAGTGAGTTGTTCCCAGTAGATGTAGCTGGGAAACGTAGATAAACGCAATGGCTGAATGATCACATCCAAAAGTGAGAGAGATATGACAATCGGTATTTGGAGAAAAGGTACAACATTGCCAAGGTCGGATACTATTGAGGGAGTCATCATTATTAAAATACGAGTAAATATTTTTAAAGCTTGTACATTTTATCATCAATCTTAAAGAGGCCGTACATAATGTTGATATCTCATATATGCACTCCTCATGGTTTATTCTCCCTGCAGTGTTTTATTGTACGATAAACAACTCCCACTCATCGTTTATTTCTTAGATATCACACTAGTGATAAACAACTCCCACTCATCGTTTATTTCTTATATATCACACTAGTGATAAACAACTCCCACTCATCGTTTATTTCTTAAATATCACACTAGTGATAAACAACTCCCACTCATCGTTTATTTCTTAAATATCACACTAGTGCCTCCAAGACACCAGCCAATCAGTGAGGAGGAACTATCTGAGAGAGCCATCTGTAGCAGGAGCTGTAACGAGTCTTAACAGTGATGTGATGTTTCATGGTACCGACTCAGTAGAGCTGACTGATTGTATTAAATCACAATGGGTCAATCAAAGGTCAATCATTGAATGATCGTTGTTTCTGATTACAGAATCTTGCTGTCAGAGTTCGTACTGTATTGGTAGCTGGCAGCATGAATGACGAGAGGGATTACATTAGTGGAGTATTTAGTGACTGTGTATTTGTCCAAGATGGAAAACATGTCCACCACAATATCGGCAAGCTGATGGATAGATGACAAAACTGATTATCTGAGATTAGGGGAAACATTGGTTTTGCATTTTTTTGGTGAAAATATTATTTTCTTTAAATGGGGCAATAATCTCAAAATAATTTTTTAAAACTATTTTTGAATTGATTTTTAAAGTAGATCATCATCATCATCATCATCATCATCATGAAATAATGCTGATCCGACATTTAATTTTAAATTTGAACTCAAAATGATGACAAAAGATCCAATAAGTTTATTCATGTGTCCTTGCATCACAATGACCCACGAGAAAATCCCACCACATCTTTCAATTGTAATTCAATCCTACAAAATTTCATCCCTGAAATATAATTGCTTTTGTTACATTTGGAGCAAATTCCAAACGTCAAGTTACAAGCTACAATACCAGAGTTACAGAGCATCTGGTATACAATAAAGATGAACTCTCCGAGAAGGAAGAGAAAAAGTTTTCAGCATGCCACAACAAAGAGGCCTTCTGGCTGAGCCTCTATGAAACATTACAACATCAGTTGTCTCCAGAGGCTGAGGCCTTCTGTACGTGAAGCCAACTGTATCGGAATGCACCTTGTCTGGTTCAACTCGCACCATGTTTGAGAATATATTACCTCTCTCACTTCTTACAAGGATTAATTTCAACATACTTATATTGTACTTAGTGTGATAAACAACTGACACCTGTCATGTTTCTGACGGAGGATGTTTACATTCCTCAACAGATGTTATCTGTCGCCTCTTTATTTGATTTGAAACTACGTGTGAGTTACGATTGGCCGAAGACAACTCTGAGTACAATAAAACATAACTGGAAGCCTAAGTTTGCTGTCTATAAGTATATAGTAGAAATCTTTGTCTTAACTGGCACTTACCTGTGAGTTTCATGTGTCAGTTACGTATGTATGACTGTGAGTAATTTGTTATGTGTGAGTTACGTGTCACTTACGTATGACTTTGAATTACATGATATGTGTGAGTTATGTGTCACTTACGTATGACTTTGAGTTACATGGTATGTGTGAGTTACGTGTCACTTACGTATGACTTTGAGTTGATGATATGTGTGAATTATGTGTCACTTACGTATGACTTTGAGTTACATATGTGTGAGTTACGTGTCACTTACGCATGACTTTGAGTTACATGATTTACGCATGACTTTGAGTTACATGATATGTGTGAGTTACAAGTCACTAAAGTATGATTGTGAGTTACATGATATGCGTGAGTTATGTGTCACTTACGTACGATTGTGAGTTACATGATATGTGTGAGTTACGTGTCACTTATGTATGACTTTGAGTTACAAGATATGTGTCCGTGACGTGAGTTGCACATGCGTTACCTGTTCCATGTGAGTTTCTTGAGTGATGTACGTACAAGTGACATGAGAATAAGATTCCATCTTTGAAGAGGTGAGGTGAGGTGAAATTGGGTTTAACGTCGCGTCCAAGATTATCGCACTTACATAGCGACGTGCATGCACGTGTGTGTGTGTGTGTGTGTGTGTGTGTGTGTGTGTGTGTGTGTGTGTGTGTGTGTGTGTGTGTGTGTGTGTGTGTGTGTGTGTGTGTGTGTGTGTGGCTGCTTGTACTAGTCCGGACTGATGTCGATTTATAGTGCTAGCCCACCGAGATACCATGCCGCAGTTTAACATGAATACCCCACTCAGACACAGTATACTGACTCCGAGCCGACCAGTCCTTGTTTTAGCCCCTTAATGCCAAGCGCCAGACAGGGTAACAACAAGTACCATCTTTTAACGTCTTTTGGTATGACGCGGCCGGGGATCAAACCCCGGACCTTCCACTCTCCGTGGGGACGCTCTACCACTAGACCACAGAGGCGGTCCATCTTTGAAGATGTACCAAATAGCAAGCCCTTTAATTCCTGATTCAGCTTCAGGGCGAGGGTGATGATTACATTCATAACAGTATATCAAGGCTCCAGAATCCCTGATATTACATCATTTCTTTGATTCCCCACCCTCCCTTTGACAATAGCACTAAACTAAAACCCAGCCATCGATGTGAATTTCATAAAAATGTCTGGGAGAAGAGGAAAATACTTTGTTCCACCAATGGAACATTTGTCAAATGTTGTCCAATTCTAGATTCAAGGATGATAGTCTTGATTTGATGTTTAAGAAATGATTCACAAAAATTCAGCTTTGTGCAGAATCAATACATGCGAGATTCAAGATAGCTGTAAATACAACACATTCTGCACTTCGGATGTGAAGAGGGGCAATATATCACGTTAATGCTGGTCAATATGACGGTATATAACGCCTCAGAGCGACATGATGGATGCTTCGCTTGTCTACTTCACCACAGTGTAACAAGGGCCAATTTCTAAACTTGCAACATTAAGGGTTTCAAGTATATAGTTTTCCTGAGGGCAATAAGCACAAATTGGTGAACTGGCACGTTAAGATGAGTCTGTATGACTATACACCTACCCCTAAAATAGAATTTGACAAATAATACAACACTGTTTTTTTATTTTAATTAATCAGTTGAACATTATATATGTGTTCTGTAACCTTCCATTTGTCTTTGATTGAGTGAGTGAACCAATTTAAGGTACAGTGTTCTCTCGTTATTGCATCCTTCAATATAGCGCCAACTCGGTTATAGCAAGCGGTAAAGCATGGCTCCCAAAATTTACTAACATTTTCAATAAACTCAAGTTTTCCAAAGACAAAATGTTTTCCCCCATCTCAGAAAACATTAGCAGCTGATCACCGCGATCACCTTACACCGGAAATACCAGTCAACAAATTTGTATTCTCCTATTTATAATAAATATCTACAAGGCTAAAAAAGGACAGATGTAATGTTTGATATTTGAGAAATTTCCTTCAAGCCAAGGTTGTGAATCATCCATTGCAATTCGCTGGGAATATTTGTGCTGTGACTTAATGTTGCATGGTTGGTTCCAAATAAAATTCATAGCCATCAACTCCATAAGGAACACAGCTCTGCATTGAAAACACAAGTCATCCAAATTCAAGGTTTTCTCAAGCTTATATGAATCACGTACAAAGCAGGAGTGTTTGTGTCGGCATTTCCCGACAGTGGCGCCACCTACCTGTTCTCCCGTGATGTTCTGGATGTTTGTCAGGTTCTGGGTGAACATGGCCACCTACAAGCAAAGTCAAAAATATTTAATGGTGGACGTTATAAAACATTTAAATATATTAACTAATATACCTTAATCAATTCAAAACCAACAAATTCACATCTGCGTCCATACCTAAGCCTTAGTCATAATTTCAGATATCACATGTGCATAAACCCCTTAACAGACCTGAGCACCGTTCCACAAAGCGATCTTAGCGCTACGACTAGCTTAAGCCAGTGTTAAAGTATGGGAGGTATGATCATCTTAGCGCTAAGATGGCTTTGAGGAATGGGGCCCTGGTCAATACAAGTTAAACACAATATTTGAGGTTTTAAACCTCCCTTTTAGCAAAATGTCACCAAGATGCGGTGTCGACGATGTTCCCCTGTACACAACATGTCAACTTACCCTGCCAAGATGGAGGTCGCCTTTGGGTACGCTAACCACATAATCTGAAACAATCACACGAAAAGTCATTAGAAAGGATATCTGAAATGACCACTTTTTGTATTTCTATCGAAAACTCTTAAAATTTTTTCTTTATGCTTTACAAATATTGTCCAGTGCATGAGATCTAATCTTTAAAAGTTTGAAACTACAATCTATACAATATTAGTTTTTGCTCGTATTTCTGAATGGTTGAATGAATGAAACATTGACGCTGTATTCAGGGCCAAACAAAGTGGTGGTTGATATCATGAGCAACTCTATGATGACACGCATTCTACCTAGACACAGAGTCCGTCTGCCAGATTCACTTTAGTCATGTATAGGGTTGTGGGGTAGCCCAGTGGTTAAAGCACTCGCTTGTCATGCCAAAGACCCAGGTTCAATTTACCACAATGTGTGAAGCCCATATTTGGTTCCCCCGCCGTGATGTTCTGGAATATTTCTAAATATGGCTACAACCACACTCACTCACTCACTCACCCAACCACTCACCAACCCACCCACCCACTCACTCACTCACTCACTCACTCACCCAACCTCTCGCCCACTCACTCACTCACTCACTCATGAAAAGCAATATTGATGTCATCATCCATCTCACCTTCGATGTTGTCCCCATCAAAGTCCCCGACGGCGCTGGCATAGCCCATGTAGCTGTCGTCGTCCTCTGGGGGCCCCTCCCGCGTCGACACATACTCCTTGTTCTTTACTTCGTAGTTGTACAGCTGACCTGAAAGGCCGGAGAAAAAATTTACCAAATTAACGAAATCTGATGTTGAAAATACAGTAACTACGTTTATAACGAACACTCTCATAATGAAATGAGGGATATAAAAACTTGTTTTTTTGTTGTCCCGTCCATTTGCTGTATATAAGCTGTATATATGATTATAAGGAACTAAAATTAGTGGTCCCTTTGAGTTCATTATAACCGTAGTTTATTGTACTTAAAATAGTCAGTCTTAATTGTGTTGTTTGTTATTTAATGCCACACTCAGCAATATTCCAGCTCTATGACGGCGGCCTGTAAATAATCCAATCTGGACAAGAAAATCCAGTGATTGATATTGTGAACAACAATCCATGCTGACAGGGTACAATGACACCATTAACCAAGTCACCAAGTCTGACCACCCTATCCATTTTGTAAGCTATTACGACCAACATAGCCCGATATAACCTACACTAACAAGTAATCCCTTTGGTGCCTTAGACCGCCCCTGTGGTCTAATATGGTAGAGCGTCCGCCTGGAGAGCGGAAGGTCCGGGGTTTGATCCCGGCCGCGTCATACCAAAAGACGTTAAAAGATGGTACTTGTTGTTACCCTGTCTGGCACTTGGCATTAAGGGGCTAAAACAGGGACTGGTTGGCTCAGAGTCAGTATACTGTGTCTGAGTGGGGTATTCATGTTAAACTGCAGCATGGTGTCTCAGTGAGCTAGCACTATAAATCGGCATCAGTCCGGACTAGTACAAGCAGCCACAAACACACACGTGCATGCACGTCGCTATATAAGTGCAATAATCTTGGACGCGACATTAAACCCAATTTCACCTCACCTCACCTCTGTGCCTTAATTCTGTGATAGATATATCTCATATGAAGTGAATTCTCTACACACACTAAGTAAAGGCTACTTTTCTTTAAAACTATTTTAAACTCAATTCACATATTGTTTACACCGAGGTATCAATTTCAGTTGTCATGAACAGATCTTTCTCTGTTTTCTCTAAATAGTTTGGTTTGCGAACTGTTGAGTGCATATAAACCTGGATATAGCTCAACTGGTTATGACATATGTGATACAGCCAATACTTCCTCTCTGAGGTATACATTACGACCTTCCTGCAGGAACTTCCTACTTACACTCTCAACCATTCTGACCTGAAGCTGGGCCACATTGAAAGTGATACAGCGAAAGTGGCTGCAACAATGTCTTCCCATCTTAGAGTGAACACTACAATTCCTTTTTTATGTGCATGGTTCAAAAGTCCATGGTGATACGTATCTAGGATGGATAACTCGGTACCCGGGTCGGGTGGGTACTGAGTAGGACGCGGGTACCCACAGGACTACCTGGACCTGTTGTTAGTCATGTGATATATATAACTGATGTTATATTTGGGATTACACTTTCTTAGTAAATTACAGATTCTCGTACTTTTTTGGGTTGAGTCCCGTCCTGGATTCGAACCCACACTTGCCAGAGTGAGGCACCTAATCGCCAGCACACAAAGTCAGCGATCTAACCCACTCAACTGTACTAGGAAAGTGTTATCCCAAATATAACATCGGTTACATTTTACCACTTTCTAAATGGCATTGTGTATTCATGTGATTTATCATCCAAAACTGGCTCCCACAGGAGATATCGCTTGGATGAGATCAAGCGATATCTACACTGTAGATATCGCTGCAATGAAATTACATCACAATGCTTTGCAGACCATTGTGACGTCACTGGTTACCATGACGTCACAATCAAATGACATCACTAATGGCTCTGCTACTGAAGCCGTTTTAAGTACTTTTTACACTGAAGACACTGCTAATTACTGTCTACAAATTGAAAAAGTTGAAAGAATGATGTTGGATGATAAATAAAATCTCACCCTCGTGTCTTTTGATATTAAATATATCAACACTCGTTGATAAAAGTTGCAAAAATCCTCGGCAAGCCTCGGAATTTTTCCACTTTTATCAACTCGTGTTGATATATTTGATATCAAAAGACACTCGGGTGAGATTCTCTATATATTGTTTAATGACAAAAATTATGGAACTCCATGGTAACACTACAAGTCACTAATGTTCGCATTTCTTTCTGACTATAGGCACCCATTCCTTCTGACTTTTCATATGGTTGAATAAAAATAACTTAAGTCAACTTCAGTGTATGCATGACCAGATCGTTAAATACATGTATCTGAATACATTTTGCAAGTGCTGTGGTAAAAAGAAAGTTCCCAATTGGACATTTTGTATCCCTCGAGACCTACAGTGGGTACCTGGGTAGGGTCGGGTAATAGTGGGGTGTAGGGTCGGGTAATAGTGGGGTGTAGGGTCGGGTAATAGTGGGGTGGGTACTCGGGTAGTGAATTTGGACTCATCCCAGCCCAGCCCTAGTGATACGACCCGTAACACATACACGGACTGGTCATATAGGCATGATGCTGCCTATGGTCAATACAAAGCTGGACAATGACTATCAATAGTGTTGGCTTCAGTGTATAGCCGAATGTGTGACATCAATGTATACTATGTATCTCTAACAGTTCACTGTCAACTGAAGGGGCCATCCCAAAACAACTTTAATGTTTTTCTTATAGTTTTTTCTCTCCAGTAATTGAGGTCAGGACTTTGAAAGGGCAGATCAACATTATTTTGAATGTAAACATCATTTTCTGGTAAAAATCTGCTGATAGGTGCTCATGTAATTTTCAAAGGGTCTGTATGAACATCTAAAACACCAAAGTTTCATATACCGAATTTGATGTAATAAGTGCCCAGGGCGCTCTCGAAATTAGAAATAGGTGGCTCTTATTCGAATATTATTTTGGTGAAAAAAAAAGAGTTGAAAGATAAATTTTGTGGTTTATGCTGACAGCCTGAAGTGTTTATGTACGACAGATATATTTTAGCAGAATTGAAATTGCCCATATTTAAGGGTGCATATAACACACGAGGGCGTATTATAAGCGAATAAATAAGTCTTGTGTACATTGATCGATCGGAAGGGGTGCTAATTGGGATTGTTCACTAGCAAATATATTAGCAAATGTCGCAGTGGGTGCTTATTAGAGCGGGGTGCTTATTACGTCGAATACGGTATTTACAGTTAGTACTGAGAACATTGCCTTAAACATCCACCTAATGATATAAGTCTCTCTTGGTGGTTGCTCTACGTTTAACTAGCTGTTAGCAACCTAGCACCAGGGGAATGGTGCTGTATGTACGTAAAGTTTTTAGGCAACCCTCGAAGTGTGACAAGATTTTCTCGGGTTCCCGAGAAGCCTCCCATGTTTGAGGGGATGATACTGATGAGGACTCGAGTGTGAATAAACATGCTCAACAGTCCAAGTCGGTCTTGACCTTTGCCCCACCCACGTGTGACCTCCAACCTTCCCAGCCTGAATGTAAAGCTAACATTTAGGTTGGGTGGTGATCTGACTGACACATATGGCTTCAGCTGAAGGGTGGGTTATACCCATTTATGTTGGGTTAGACAGGCTTGTTCAGCTAGCTCACTCAGGGGAAGTCGGTTATAATATGCTGTGTGTGTTTCATTCTTAAGACCAACCCTTCTCACATAGTCGACCGGTTAGCTTAGCTTCATCTTTTTTTTTAAAGTATCATGTCATTATTTCTTTTGTGTAACCACAAACAAAAATGCAATTTAACGAGAATTTAGACACTGCAAAAACTCACAATATTTACCAAACTGTTAAAAAATTAATCAGAAATATGTGAAAGTTTTGAATTATGCTGCATCATGGAATTCGAGTCGGGTGACCTAAAACAGATGTACAAATACACTCCATCCTTTACCTCATCTGTTCTATTAATAGAACAAACCATGTGACCTGCAGCTTCCCTGGCATTGTGTTACATCCAGCCTGCATAGCTGCTATTTTGAGACAAAAGCAGTGGCCCTATAAATACCTACATGCTCCTGTGATACAGACAAAGCTCACTTACCCACAAGATTGGTATATATAGCCCTGAAAGTATGGCACTGATCCCTGCTGCTGATGCAGGAGCAAAACATGCAGCATCTGCTGAAGGTGGCCAAGTGCAGGTCTCATACATGTCATAGTGTATCAGTGATGTAATACATGTCATATTGTATCAGTGATGTAATACATGTTATATTGTGTCAGTGATGTAATACATGTCATATTGTGTCAGTGATGTGATTAATGTCATACTGTGTCAGTGATGTAATACATGTCATATTGTGTCAGTGATGTGATAAATGTCATACTGTGTCAGTGATGTAATACATGTCATATTGTGTCTGTGAAGTCATGCATGTCATATTGTGTCAGTGATGATTACTGTGTAATACATGTCATATTGTGTCAGTGATGTAATACATGTCATATTGTGTCAGTGATGATTACTGTGTAATACATGTCATATTGTGTCAGTGATGTACTACATGTCATATCGTGTCAGTGATGATTACTGTGTAATACATGTCATATTGTGTCAGTGATGTACTACATGTCATATTGTGTCAGTGATGTAATACATGTCATATTGTGTCAGTGATGATTACTGTGTAATACATGTCATATTGTGTCAGTGATGTACTACATGTCATATCGTGTCAGTGATGATTACTGTGTAATACATGTCATATTGTGTCAGTGATGTAATACATGTCATATTGTGTCAGTGATGTAATACATGTCATATTGTGTCAGTGATGTGATACATGTCATATTGTGTCTGTGAAGTCATGCATGTCATATTGTGTCAGTGATGATTACTGTGTAATACATGTCATATTGTGTCAGTGATGTAATACATGTCATATTGTGTCAGTGATGATTACTGTGTAATACATGTCATATTGTGTCAGTGATGTAATACATGTCATACTGTGTCAGTGATGTAATACATGTCATCTTGTGCATGTATAAAGATTGAGTTCACCACTGACCTTGCCAGTACCAGCTTCCGACCGCTGCAACCATCATCTTCCGTCCATCCTGCAACACAGACACAACCACATGACCCTGGTCACACAGTACATGCTAAACAGCTAACTCTAAAAACAAACATGGAAATCTAAAAAAAAATTATTTCTTATTATTATATGCGTATGGATTATTAACTTTCAAGTTAAGCAATGATAAATTAGATATCTATAATATTACAGACAAATATGAGCAGACAAAAATAGAATGAAGACATTTTGTTTTATGTGAAACATTTGTCATTGGAATATTTGGTGAAAACTGTATTGGAAGAAAAACTCCTTGAAGTTGATCAGCTAAAGCTTTGAAAAGTCATCACTTATCTTGTTAAGTTGTAAATGATATATGAACTATTGTTTCAGAAGACATGGGCAACATATATGAAGTAGGGCTGGGACGGTTAACTCGGATTGGGTTGGGTGGGTACTGATTAGGACCCGTGTACCCACAGGACTACCCAGATTCGTGGTTATCACGTGATATATTGTTTAAAGGCAAAAATTATCTTGAACACCATGGTTACACTACAAGTCACTAATGTTCACATTTCTTTCCGACCATGCACCCATTCGTTCTCACTTTCATATGGCTGAATAAAGATATAACTTAAGTCAACTTCAGTGCATGCATGACAATCGTTTGATACATGTATCTAAATACATTTTGCCAGGATTATGGTAAAAAAAATTCCAATCAGACATGTTGTACCAAACTTTTGAAACCTACAGTGGGTACCCGGGTAGAGTCAGGTAATAGGGGGGTGGGTACCTGGGTAGTAAATTTGGACTCGTCCCAGCCCTAATATGAAGTGAAAGCAAGAGGATGGTTATTGCCATCATGGGTAACAGAAATGTCTCCGAGAACAAAATAAAAGCCTTGAAGTTTGGAGTTTTATGTAAGAAGCAACACCACAGCAAACAGAACTCCTCGACTGCAGACTCCAATAAAACAAGACATATAGTAATAAATAGCTCCAAATATCATATACACATCAGCAGACAATTCTCATTATCCTATAAATACAGTTTGGAAGATTTGTTGACAGATGAATCCTCCTGAGGAAAAGAAATTCCGTCTTCCTAAACCGAAGTGGGTAGTTCTACATGTGGTATGGGCTCCTCCGACAGGCGTTTTTTCATAAACATATATGCTCCTAAACACACTGAATCACACTCGCAGTTGTGTCTTAAATTCTCCGAGCTGGCTTCTAGAACAGCGACTTCAAAACATCAAAAGTGACCCCAGATCTGGGATAAACAGACACGCCTAGGCTTACTGTATATAAATATCCAGCATGAACTGTGAATTTCTACATGATAACATCTGATTTCAATAACGTTCTATACATCTCACACACTGCTTCATCATCTAGAAATGTTGAACCACGTTCAAGTCGAATGCTTCATTGCCATAAATTAATTTGCAAGTTTCGGTTTCAAATTATAAATAACATAACTGAAAATAGTTATGACAATTTAGCAATTTTAATGAAAACTGATTAAATAAAAATTGAATTTCACTATTAACATGATAAACGTGACAAATGAAATGGACCCCCCCCCCCCCCCCCCCCCGAGTAAAACAACAATCATGAAACGTAATGTAATAGTTGAGAGACTAGGGCCATGATAAATAATTAGATTTTCAACCCCACTCACTACCAAACACCCCACCTCAGATCATATTTTCCTTCATAAGTACTAGCAGATGGAGAAATCACTACACATGTTCCCTTCTTTGTTCTCTGCTTGATGCAAATATATACTACTCAAAAGACGTTAAGGAACACCCAATTCTCTCACATTACTATAGTTAATCTGTCACAGATTAACTATAATAATAAGAAAGAATCGAGTGTTCTTAAACTAATTTTGGGCATGACAGATTAACTGTAGTAATATGAAAGAATCAGGTGATCTCTTAACTTTATTTGAGTAGTACTGTATTCAATGTAATAAGCACCCAGGGCGCTCTCAAAATTTGAAATAGGGGGCTCTTATTAGAATAAAATTTTGGAGAAAAAAAACCAGAGTTGAAAGATTGTAAATTTCGTGGTTTATGCTCACAGCCTGAAATGATACAAAATAAAAGTCTGTGTGTATTATACACGACAGATATATTTATCCAGAATTTAATTGCCCATAATTTTGGGTGCATATAACACACGAGTGCGTATTAAACACAAATAATAAGTCTTGTGTACATTGATCAATCGGAAGGGGTGCTAATTGGGATTGTTCACTGGCCAATATATTAACAAATATCACCGTGGGCGCTTATTAGAGCGGGACGCTTATTACGTCAAATACGGTATATACATTCCTGGCCAACATTCATGTTTCATGTAAACAACCTCATTTGGAGTTGGACCACCTCCTCCGTGGATCAAGTGCCCACCGAGAGATTGGAGGGTTGGTGTTCATTTCCCGGATAGGTCCAAACCAAATTATGTGAAAAAATGTTACTTGTTGTCTCCCTGCCTGGCATTCGGCATTACAGGGAAAAAACAAGGTCTGGTCGGCTTGGAGTCAGTCTGCTGTGTCTGAGTGGGGTATTCATGTTAAACTGCAGCATCGTATCTCAGGCGGCTAGCACTATAAATCGGCATCAGTCCGGACTAGTAAAAGCAGCCACACACACACGTGCATGCACCAAGCTATATAAGAATAATAATCTTGAACGCGACATTAAACCCCATGTCACCTCACCTCCTTTGAAGTTAATGTACACAGTTGCCCTGTCATTTGTCTGTTTTAATTGACAAAATATTTATAATAAATAACAAACAAAAACTTCACATTTTTGCAAAAATGTGGCTGAAAATTTTATAACAGATTTTTGTGGCTGTATGAAATAAAATATCTTCAAATATGCTGATGTGGCATAAAGTAATATTCACTTACTTCAGAGCACCTACCTTCAAAAGTAATACAAACACGGTTCATATACTCATCATCAAAAGAAACATGAACCATAGAAACATATAGAGGAGTATGCACATTAAGAAAAGATATTTCCAATGTGTACCAATTAATGACAAAACTAACAATCAGTCAAGTGTTACAATAGGGTGACTTTATTCTTATCACGATATGCTGCATGTGACTTCCAAACTTTACACACTAATCCTGCACAGACAAATGGTGCTACTTGAGTCATGGATCTATGACGTCACATGTGATGCGTTCATGAGCATCGGTTGACACAACATACCAGTTTGTTCGTTTGTGCATTGAACCAATCATATACCTCTTGAATATGAGTAATTCTTCATATATCAACCAAATGTATGGTATTCGTGTTTCTTTTGGTGGTGAGTATATATCACCATTAATCACTGGTCATGCTGATACCAGTCATATTTCGCCATTTGCCATAAACCTGCCTCCCGTTTGTCTTTACCAACAGGAAATTGTCGGGGATATTGCCACGACAGGACCAATCACAACAGACCATCTCCACGATAAACATTTCAAGGGAGAAACAAATAAATCCTTCAACGTTTTTAACTGGAACATCTTTGTTAAATAAACTTCTCATCTTCTGATAATCAACTACCGCTGTCATAATAATGCTTGTGTCAATATGTCTCCCTGTCTGAGATATGATAAACACGGTAGATTTGTTAATGATGGTGAGAGATCCCATCTGGCAGCCATTCCATCCGCCCTGATACTCAACGTTAACCTGTAATCATACCAACAATCGGGGGGGGGGGGAAGTCTGTTTATTTCAAAGACATAAATATCAAAATTTGCTGAATGCATCGTAGTTCAATGAATAATGTTGTTTGAAAAGAACTACTGTATTCAATGTAATAAGTGCCCAGGGCACTCTCAAAATTGGAAATAGGGGGCTCTTATTAGAATAAAATTTTGGAGAAAAAAAACCAGAGTTGAAAGATTGTAAATTTCGTGGTTTATGCTGACAGCCTGAAATGATACAAAAGAAAAGTCTGTGTGTATTATACATGACAGATATATTTATCCAGAATTTAATTGCCCATAATTTTGGGTGCATATAACACATGAGTGCGTATTAAACACAAATAATAAGTCTTGTGTACATTGATCAATCGGAAGGGTGCTAATTGGGATTGTTCACTAGCCAATATATTAGCAAATATTGTCGTGGGGTGCTTATTACGTCGAATACGGTAACTGACTATGGTTTTTACGCTATTTTCAGCAATATTCCAGCAATTTCACAGCAGGTTAGCACCAGAACATGCTTCATTGAAAATTTACTACAGCATCAACAAAAAATCAATTTATACTATATTTTAATGCACATGAGTGAGTGAGTGAGTGTGTTAATATGGTTCCACACCATTTTCAGCACCATTCCAGCAATATGATGTCAGGTGACACCTGAAGTGGGCTTCACACATTGTACCCATGTGGGGAATCGAACCTGGTACTTCGGCAAACACTTTAACTACTAGGTTACCCCAGCGCCCCAAATTTATTTGAAGATGCATAACTTTTAAAACTTTCTGATTGATGTATGAAAAGCTGTTAGTCATGTCTGTTCACAAACTTCCTGAGCGAGTCCTTCCTCACAATAACGATATCACAACGCAGACAGATGTACAGCTATTTTAGAGATCTTTTTCTCTCTCAAACAATACTATCTGTAAAGGAATCAATAGTGATTTTTCTAAGCTGTTCATATTCACAAACAGAAAACCAACCTATTGTCCTTAATCAAAGAAATGTGGTAATTTGCCAATCTGGGATGACAAGCCTGGAGTACAATATACAGAATCAGTAATATTAGTTGGGTATTATCACTAATATAATCAGGATGGCCTGTTATTAGCTAGGGTGATACTGCTTGCTTCAGATATTAACGACCGTATACAACCCCAGAGATATGTGCTTGATGAACCAGCTTGGAGTGGCTAAATTGGGCCTCAAATGACTTAGATGACTCCATTCAAACATGAAAAAGATATTCCAAATTCCTGAACCTGCAATTTCTAGGTATTGATCCGATTAAACGGAAAGTTT